GCGGGTCCCCGAAAGCGGCACCGATGGTGCAGATGGGGGGTCGCTCGCGGGATCATTCAGCCCGTCCCGGGCGAGCGCAAATGGTTCATCCCCCGGACGGGCTGAGGACGTGCCAGGACAATGCCTGCTCGCACCAGAATTGGGATGGTTGGAGAACCGTCGCCCTGCCGACCAGGAATCCCCCCTGGGCGCAGCGGAGGACGAAAAAGTGAAGGAACAAAAGGCGGAGGGCGCGTGGCAGGTCCGCGCCAACGCGAGCCTGGGCCCCTGCGCGCACCTGCGTTCCCGGGCCAAGCGCCGTTTCCTGAGGGGGGGCGCGAGCCCCGGCCTCCGCGACCGGCCAGCCAGCGCCGGGGCGGCTGACCATTCAGACCAGCCACTACACCTTAGGCGATGCTTAAGAAAACCCAAGTTTTCGGCCAGAGTCTCGATTATTCTTAACGTTTCAATGTAAATCCTAAGATGTTAATAGAAATGTTGGATTTTTATTGAAGTTCTGAGACTATGAATTTCTTAACCCATGATTTCTTAAGCATTTCGCAGGGTGTACCAGCGGGCCGGGCGCGCCCCCCCCCCCCCCCCCAAGTGGGAGGACGGTTGCGGCTGGGGGGCCTTGCGCATAGAGGGGCGAGGCTGGCACACCCTCGGTCTTGCGGGCGCCCTCCCTCTGGACTCGGAAACGCTCTCCGGGATGGGATCCTGCTGTGGGTTTGGGACAACTTCTGTCGTTGGGCATTGCGCCCATCTCTTCCGTACCCATGTCGGGCGTCCAAATTGGATGCCATTCGCTCAGCATCGGAGCTAGGGACCGCCGCGATGTGCCGCGCAGTCTCGGAGCTGGAGAGGCCCGAGCGATTTGGACGGTGGAAATCGAACGCCTGCCACGTCTACCTCTGGGGGAGCCAGCCCATGGGCCTTGCAATCGGCTGGCGGAAGGGGCGTCCGCCAAGAAATGCCGGCTCGCCATCGACAGCACCACCCAGGCTCGGGGGTGGACAGACCTCCTACCCTGACACGTCGATTATTTTTGCGGGTCCAGGTCCGTCGGTTTCGGTCCCAGGCCATTTCCACTAAGGGGAGGTTTACTAAAGGGAGGTTTGTCCACCGCCGACAGGCGGGTAGGACAGGAGCGGAGGGCCAGAGAACCTGCCAAGTGCGCTCTGCGGGGTTCCCCCCACCAGAGCAACCCTGGATCCCCACACCAGGGGCGGAGGGCCAGCACCGGTCAGTGTAGGACTTCTATATGGGCGTGCCTCGTGGCGTGCCAGAGGGGAGGCTGGCGAGCTTGACCCAGCAGGCCGAGTAGGGTGCGCAGCCCACACCTTCTCCCCCTCCTCCGGGGAGCTTCAAGCCCCGCGCGGACGAGCCGCGCGAGGGCATGGGGGGGGCCCCAACTCTGCGGAGTTGGCGCCCGCTTTGGTCTGGCGAGGCCACCGCTGGGCAGGCAAGGGCCCACCTGGTTTGGGAGTTGCTCGAAGTTTCGAAGGGGGGTCCCGGTTCGGCGCCCCTGTGGCTGGGCGGTGGGGTGGCGCGCGCGCCCTGCACGCTGTCTCTGCCGTCGCGTCAGAACGTGTGCAGTCCCCTTCTCCTCCTGAGGAGGGCACAGGCGGTCGCCGCCAGTCTGTTTCGTCCGGGGCTTCCCCAGGGTGTCTTGATTTGCACCGAGCGTCGCTCCGCTTCCCTCCCTTTCCCCTCGCCCCCCCCGCAGCCGCTGCGGCTCGGGTCTTTGTTTTGGTCCTCCCGCCCACCCTGCACAGGCGGGGTGGCGCGTGCTTCCTGCACCCTGTCTCTGCCATCCCTGCATTATGGGTGCCCTCCCTTCTCCCTATGAAGGGAGCACGGTTGGGCGCCAGTCGATATGTCTGCATGTATCTCTCTGGTTGCCCCCTTCTTATTCGGTGTTCCTCCCTCTCTCTCTCTCTGTCGCTCGTTTTGTTTGTTTATCTTGGCCCCTTCTCCCTCTCCCCCTCGCACTGGCCCCCATTTGCAGTTCGCACTGGTCGGCAACCTTTTCCACGCATGCTGTGTGACCGATTTCGTTTCCCATCTTAACGCGCCATGAGAAATCTGGACTCTCACAGCTTTTCGCCCATTCCACACATTTCTCTCCCAACGCCATCCTGTTCAGTCATGGCCTTCTCCCCCTCAGGCCGCCGCTCTCCTCCTCAGCGACTCCTCAGCTGTCCTTCTCCCAAACCTGGTCCTCCTGGTGCGCTTCCTTTGGCCTCCTCTCCGTTGGCAACCCTCGGTGCTCCTTTCGATGATCCCCGTGTTGAGTCCGCGCGTCCCGCTTCACTCCCGCCTCATTTTTGGGGGGCGGGGATGAGGTGCAGAAGGAAAGAGTTAATTATTTGAGAGAGGGGAGAACTGAGTCGGGTAGCAGGATGGCCCTCTCTCTCTCTCTCTCTCTCCCCAGTCCCCCCCCCCCCCATCTTGGCAGAACGACGGCATGTTCCGCGACGCCATGGAGACGGCGCGCGACAGCGGCAACCAGGCGTAAAGGGGACTCGGGGCAAGAGAAGAGGGCGCGGGAGACGCACAGCATACTTATACGACCACTCTACGGATGATGAGGAGGTTGTGGGGGGCGGGGGGGGATCTCATCATCGATGTCACCGGCGATCTCACTCGCGATCTTAATCTTACCATCGAGCGGCTTGGCTATCCATCGAACTCGGTATCTACCGGCCTCGATATCAGTCGATCTCACTCACCAGGTATCCGTCTGGTTGTCGACATCACGATAGATCCCATCCTGCATATCACTATGGACCTCCTCATGGGCATCACGATGTATCGACCTATCCATCGACACCCATTCCTCACCCACGCTCGATCTCACCATCGATCTTTCTACCGATCTCACATTCGATCTTACCACAAAACACCTGAGCATCAGGGATGCCAGCAGAACCCGGTGGCACTTATTTGCCCGCGCGCCGTTCCTTCTCTTTAACAACATAACACGAACAAGCAAGGCCACGGGGCACAATGAGACACCACGGGGCACCACCATCGATCCGAATATCGATCTAGGTGACATCTATTTTCCCAGTCCCTTTTTTCGACGTATTGCGAAGGTACAGGGCAATCGGTTTGGCCATCTATCTATCGATCTCATGCTCACTATACTAATCGATACCACTATCGATCTCACCACCGATCTCCCTCTATCTATCGATCTCACTACCTCTCGATCTCACAGTCGGCCTTACTATCGATTTCACTATCGATTGTTTTATCGATCTCACAATCGATCTCATTATTGATTTCGCATTCGACCTCGCTGGATACCACGGGACACCACGGGACACCGCGCTACGGGACACCACGGGACACGATGGGACACCAACCGGCGGGACACCCTCAGGACATCCCCGGCCAATCGGGGGCGTGAGAATCATTGGATTCAGCTTCGCCTTGGCAACGGCGGGACACCAGCGGGACAATCCCGGACAACCGCCGGCCAACGGGGGGTGTAGAGTCATGGGATCCAGTTTCGCCCTGGCAGCGCAGCGGCGGGTTCATTCCTCCCGCCGGGCCGCGCGGCTTCGCCTCGCACGCACGACGCGAGCGCGAGACCGAAACCGATTTCCCGGTGGGGAGGGTCGCCGTGTCACTTGGAACTCACCCCCCAAACCTCCTATCAATATAGTGGCCTTCGGCGCAACCCGCCACCTCTGCCTGGGTTGCGGGCCAGAGGCCCTTCAGACGTATCTCAGGGGTGGGGTCTCCTGGTGAGCCTCTTGGAGGCCTTTACGAGGAGTGCTTTAGGGGCCTCTTGGGGGGTCTCCTGCGTGGGGGGGGGGGGGGGCCTTGGAGGCCTTCGGCGGTCTCGGATGCGACCTTGGGCCGCAGGGCTCGAGATGTGAGTTTCTGTTGCCGCTCCCAGGCGCCTCTCGCAGCAGTCTTTGAGGCATGCTGGGCACCTCTGCGGGGCCAGCGTGCCCCCTTTGGACGACCTCGGCGGCCTCCTGGGCCGCCGAGGGCACTCTTACGACCGAGCCGGCGAGCATACCAGGCTCAGAAGGACACCGAGAGAACATCAACGATGTTGGCCTCCTGGACCGGCGGGAGGCCCGCAGCACGGCCCTAGGGGCCCGGCCCCCCGTCCCAAGGGCCAAGCGGCAAACCTCGAGACAAGGTTGGGCCATGCTGGGCGCAGGGAGTCACAGCAAGCTCCCCTGGATGCTGGAAGGGTTAGTCGCGAGCGCTCCCAGGGGCCACGTGAGAAATCAGCGAACAGGAGCTCCGCGTCCTCCTCCTCCTCCTCCTCCTCCTCCTTCCTCCTCCTCCTCCTCATCGAGCATCTGCAGCATTCCACAAAGAGCCTCTCTGGCGGCCGGCAGGCCCTGCGCGCCCCGGACTCGCTTCCAGCGGGGCACGGCTTTTGATATCGTGTCGCCCTGGCCGCTGCCGACTTGCCTGGCCGCAGTGGCACTTCAGCTTTCTTTCTGGGGGCTGCGCGCCACACGCGCGCCGCCAGAGGAAAGGCCACGGGCGTTTGGCCCAGCACGCCTACCTCTTTGCAGCCTTCACCCGAGGATGCTCAACTTCGTGCCTCGGGGCACGGTGGTGGATTGTGTAGATCCTCGTTCTCGCAGTTACATATGTGTACATACGTATAGAGGGCCGACGACGCATTTGTACTTGTACACATGTGCCGATGTCAGCGTGCAATCCGGTGCGCGGCCCGAACAAGCCGACAGTTGCGCCGAGTCCACACACATTTTCTTATTGCCCGCAGGGTGGTCTTATCGGCAGAAGCATTTCCTTATACTACGGCGAGCTCCCGCTGGAATGGTGCTGCAGTCGCAGGAGCCAGGAGGGCTAGAGCGGTGATAATCCAATGGCCTTGCCACAGGCTTGGGCCAGGGAAAGCCTGAATGGTCAGAACGTGGCGGCATTGTCACTGGAAGCGGCCTCGGAAGGCCTGGAACGATGAGACCAGCAGTCTGATTACAGTGCAAGCCGACCACGTTGGGATACCACAAGTGCGTTTCACAGCGGGCCGCCCTCCATCTTCGTCTGTCCCAGTACTTTTTAGAAAACGTCCGCTGCAGACGGTTTAGAGGGCGAGCTGACCCTCACCTTTTTACGTTTAGCAAGTATTCGATCTCTTCTTTCTTGTATGTGTGCGTGTTCAAATATCACTTATCTTGCATATGGGGGGGGGGGGCGTGGGCGTTCCAAGCGAGCGGGCGAATTTGAAATCCATCCACCACCCACGTATGCTTTGAAAGCGTTCGGGCCATACGTTGCCAGGCTATGTCAAGCGGGAGCGCGCTTTCGACACCGCACTGCCCTCCGTCGGTCCAGGTGTTGAGCAACAGCTGGAGGCGAAACCGTACGAGACCGTGCCAAGGGCGTCTCGAGTGAATTCGCGGTCTGGGAAAGCGGCCGCGTTGCATCCGCGCAGTTGTTGACCACGGTAAGCTTGCGGGCCATAAGTCGTTGTGCAGTCTCGGGCGGGAGTATGTGTTTTTTTCCCAGCGGCCCGCCTTCTATCAAGCCGCTGCCTATTTCGGAGGCCTCACGGCCGATGCCACCGACCCTGGAACGATACCACCATGATGAAGGGGACAGCCGGAAGTGTTTGAGAAGGTTGGGACCAGACGCCCCGAAGAGATCCCCTGAATATCCATGAGGCTCCCAAGAAGCGCATGACGAGGTGCACAGCTTGGCCAAGCTATCTGCCTATGTGCTCCCGCAGCCGCTGGGAAAGGAAGGGGGGGAATCGGGAGAGGGAGGAGGAGGAGGCGGAGGAGGGGGAGGAGCAGGAGTATGAGGCGGAGGAGGAGGAGGAGGAGGAGGAGGAGGAGGAGGAGGAGGAGGAGGAGGAGACCGCTTGCAAGCCTTTTTCGGGGCTCTGGGGGCCTCCTCAGACTTCGTAGCGGCCTCTTGCTGCCATCCGGGGCCGTCTTGGAGGTGGACTGGGGCCATCTTGGGTCCGACATGGTCATCTTCGCCGTCTTGGAGGGCCCATTGGATCAGATGGGGCGGCCACGCAGCGCCATCCTGACCACCTGGGAGGCCAGCCTGGGCATCTTCTTGGGGGAACTCTGAGAGGGGCCCTTTTGGGGGGCTCTCTCTTGGTGCTCTCGGGCGATCTCGGGCTCCTCTTTGGGATGATCTGATGGCCAGCGGCCCGTCCCGCCGCTGCCTGGCCGTGGCATGATGCTGTTGGGGACTTCCTGGGAACCCTCTTGGAGCTCTCTCCGGGCTCTCTTGGAGACTTCTTGGAGGAGGAGGAGGAGGAAGGAGGAGGAGGAGGAGGAGGAGGAAGGAGGAGGAGGAAGGAGGAGGAGGAGGAGGAGGAGGAGAAACGAGGAGGAGGAGGAGGAGGATGAGGAGGAGGAGGAGGAGGAGGAGGAGAGGGCACTGAGAGGCTCCAAAAAGGCTATAAGAGGGCCCCGTGGCGGCTCCCGACATATTTTGCACGGGTGGCATGCCGGAGGCTCCTGGTATGATGCCGTGGACTCCTGCCTGGCATTCCGCAGGGGCCCTCTGGAGGTGCCCTTGGTCAGGAGGCCCCCAAAACACACAGGCACAATTCATCGTCGATTCTCCAGAAAATATGGGGCAATGTGGGCAGTGGGGGGGAAGACGAAAACCCAGAAAATATGGGGAAACATGGGGATTGTTTTCATTTGGGTGTATTTCTTTGTGTGTCCCAGGGCCCCTTCACTTGGGGCGCTCGGGCGATTTCGGGCACCTCCTGGATGATCGAAGCCGCATGCGGCGAATTACCGCTGGTCCGTCTGTAGGGGGCCACATGCGAACCCTACCCCTGCCCCCCACGATTTCTGAGGGAGACATCTTGCGGCCTCTTGGGCGCTCCTGGGGGCCATCTCGGACGACGATCTGGAGGCATCCTCTGAGGCCAGCCTCAGCCCTCCTGGCCGGTTGGGAGCGCGAAGGCCGACGATCTGGGAACTCTGCGGATCCTGCCTGGGCAATCTGCAGGCGACCATGTTGAGGGCCCGTGCGCTGGACCTGAGCTCGGCCTGTCTCTGGGGGGCCGCAGGCGAAGCTCCCCGAGGGGCTCGATCCGTGCGGCAAAACACGCCCTCCGATGCCGAACGCTTCAGACTGCAGCTGGAGCATGCACTAGAGCCTCCGCGCGCGCGCAAAGCGCGCGCGCGGAGGTTCCACAAGGGCGCCCTCGAGGGTGCGAAGCTATTCGCGCTTCGCGCTTCGGCCCCGATTCCGCCCCGCCCTCCTCTCCTCCGCTGGGAGGCGGCGCGAGAGCGCGGAGTTTTTCGCGCTTCGCGCAGCGCGAAGCGCGAAGCTGGGAGCCCTTGTTCTAGCACATGCTTATTCATGCCGTTCTGCCCCGATGAGAGGTGATGACAGCAAACCACCCTAGCCCGGAGTGGTGCTGGAAAGGCACCTTCTAATCCAAGAAGTCAACGCTTGGATCTGCCACGATGGCGATGTCGAGGCGGCAAGCTGCCACCTGCATCGTAGCTCTTTTGGATGCGGTCCTGCCCGCTCTGT